TGTATCACTTTGGCCGTTTCTTCATCATCAAGCTGACTCGCCGTTATAAAACTGGCGTCCAACCAATTAACTCATTTAAGTTATCTCTAAGACTTATACCATGAGGACAGGAACATGAGATTTCCAAACTTGGAACTTGGCACTGGATCAGAGGAGCGTTCAGTGATAGATATTCGACTAATCAGTAAGGAGATCCAGAAGTTCAAATAAAAAAATAACGGTAAGTTTAGGTGCCGTGCCCTCTGCAATTTTGTTTTTCTATATATTTTACAGCGTAACCTTTCGTTCCAAAGACATTTCATGGAGCTGTGTGTTTGACTTCCTTCACTAATGATAACGCAAACCCAAAACATATGATCCAGCCTTTTTCTCAGGTGAACAATTGACTTGCACTTGCATGTGTTTGTGACGGGGGTCATCGGTGGGGCTGGGTACGCTAACCTTTTCACGAACACTCGGTATCATCACTATTTAATAGCGAATTATGATATAGTCAAAATCGTAAAATGGAATCTGCTTTTAGTTTTTGTCGCTTTTTTAGCACAGAAAGTGAAATGAGAACCTATTCCTGTGATTTCTTTATAATCTATGTTTTCCTTCACAATATATTCGTAGTTGTTGCACTTAATACTTATAACTATAGTATAATTTTTCTTTAATTTTCAATATATAATTCATATATTATTCTATTTAGGGGAAGTAATCGCTTATTCATATATCTGTTCTTCATGCATTGTATTATGTTAAGACTACGCGACCTAACCCCAACCCTTCCTCGCGAATAAGCCACGTTTTTAAACCCTACCGTAATTCACTCCACCCTCGACTCTGCAATACAAAACCGGTCGCACCATACATAGTTTGAAATTTTGAAAATTTTGAAAAATTTGAAATCAGCCATAGTTAGCTTCAGAATGCAGCTTATGTAGTTAGTCGACCGTCGGGACGCTGGAGATCGCTGTCTAGTGTCGGGATGGTGTGAGAGTAAGCTACCCTGTGGCGCAACCAACAAATACCTCCAAGTGAGAGCTTAATTTGTCCCTAGTAGACGTCTAAACGCTGGTTTGTATAGCGGGGATAAACAACTGACCTTAGGTGTCAATTTCATTCACAGTGATGTCAATTTCAAAATGGCTTTGTTGATTTCAGTTATGCATTCTGTGCATTTGGCCTAACTCCGTGGCGTTTGAGTATAGAAACTGTGTTCATTGCGCAGTCATGTCGTAAAACGTCCCTGTGGGTATTAATTTGTTTATTGAGGCAAATTTGAATTACATTTGAATTTCAGTTTGCTGCCTGCAACGGATGTATTTTTCATGAACAATAAATATTTTGAATTTAACTGTGACACATAAATGGCTAGGATAAGTGTATATATTGGGTCATACACTATACTATACATAGTTGATACATTTCAGCCAGTTCGAATGATATTTGTTGTATGCGACAACAAACAAAGCTGTCATAAAATGACTCAACATGTTGTCGATATCATAAATAATTTATATAGATTTGATACAATCGATATAAGTTATTAATTTCTTCAATAACCTAAACTGCTTCCATAAAACATAAACTAAAATATTTGTTTTTTGTTCAAAAAAAATTTACCATAAAAGAAATGTAAACACAATAACCAAATGAAATAAGTTATGTTTCAGTCATATCAAAAAACATCTACTGAACAGTGACTATCATATCTTTTGAGTAATAAAAATATGAAATAAACCAAAATGCAAATAGTACTACAATTACTCCTTTAGAGCAGAAGCACAATTGCTCATCTCAAATAAAAACAAAAAAGTACAAGCTCAATCTGTGTTTGAAGAGCTTCTTATTGACAGAGAAAACATTCAGGAAACTAAATGATATCACCATATGGCTGATTCGATAGCAAACGTCTCGCAGGGAGGGGACTCTAAAATCAAACAATACAATGGCTGTGGAATATCGTTCTAATAAAACAAAATTTCGCTACCGATGGTTGAAAATTGCCAGTCATTTAAAAAATGCCATATCGCGTAACAAAAGCCCACAATGTGGGCGCTTCTGATAAAGTCTGCTAATGACTATGCTGTCAAACGTTTGAAAACTTCAAATTCCTTCAGGAAATTTGTTCTTTCTGAACACCCCAACCCCAGTCGTAGCATCATATGAGCTCCGTTATAAGGCTGTGTAGCTCCGCTTTTGCCGAGTGGAAATCTAATTATCCCAGCACTAGTCCGAATGCTAAGTCCGACGCCTGAGTCCAAATAATAAGCGGTCGCCAAAAGCCAAAGCTATTAAGTGTGTCTTAGAATAATCAAACCATTATCAAAGCAATCGCATGTCTGTTGCTGATAATTTTGAGGGCAAATATTATTACTATGTCAATCGATCTGAAATCTATTACGGCAAACGTCACTCAATGTACAATTGCTCATGAAAGTCACCGTTTGACGCCAATTGTTAATTTCACTTGGTTCTGTAATAGACATCTTTCGACTGTAATTAACACAGTTGCATGTGGTTTCAACCAATACGTTTGTCTGGGGTTATCAATCTCATCAACCACTAACGACGCTATAAATTAATTGAAGATTTATTGCAATGTAATGAATACTGCTCTTCATACAAAACTATCGACTGTTAAAAAATTCAAAACATCGAAAACAATTCCACAATGTGTTATATACGAATATCAAATAATTGATAAACCCTGTACTTTCTTATCAAACAAGATTAACATAATAATATAAATTTCGATTTAATTACAAATAATAAATAGAAGTTATAAATCCGTGTTAAAACAGCAGAAAAATACCAAGGAATCTGCCTGAATTTAATCACACAACGCAATAGAAAGTAATTAAGTGAAACGGTGATCGGGACAATTACATGTTTTACACTCTCTCTATGCAAATAAATGATTTTTTCGTGAAACCATATTAAATGGACCACGATTTAAAACCCATTAGCGGCTGTTATTTAGCCATATCACGTGAATTGTCTCCAGATGCAAAGAAAATCCATTGCACTGATAACCTTTTCGTGCATTTTTAAAGAAATTTCCGAGTAAATATCGTATTTTATCCAAAAATGTGTCCCCGTCCATTCCAAAAGATGTAATTATGTGTAATTATTCCCTTCAGACCCGGCATAGAAGCTACGCTGCAAATGCATATAACACGCAACAAGACCTGATCATTCGGAAGTCGGGAAACAAACTCCAACTGACATACATGCTTGTTCATTGCAGTACTTGTTCATTTCAGTGTCATGTATGTATAGTATTCTACATCATATATCCACATGTTTATAATTAAAAAGGATTGGTGTATTAACGGGAAAGAAGACATGGGTGGTGTAATACAATCGTTGAAATTGATATCATGTAAGATAAGGGGAGCGTTGGTTGTTTATTTCAGAGTGTTGGTTGTTCATTTCACATTGACACACATCCGCTTACATGCTTTGATGTTTATTTCACACTTATCGTCGGATCTCATAATCATAATTAAAAAGCATTTCTGTTATTTTGAAAGGGGTGACAATTTTATAGAATAGTTTGAAATAAGTGCAAATATATTAGGGTTTTACTGACTACGTTGCTAAATTGTGAAATAGGTAGGTAATAATACATATATATGTGCACGTGTCTACAGTACATATATATGTTTCTATAACGTATGTATGTAATAACATGATACCTTATTAACCATAGTGTATGCCTATTGATATATACTCATATTCCAGTATAAAATCGCTCTGACCGTTTCGAGTGTCGACAAAAACAGACATTATAAAAGAAATTACAATAAAAATATAAAAATATCAATTTCACTGACAAACGTACACATATCTTGTCGCTGTGTACTAATGGGTATCACTATATGTACACATATATTTGAAATTATATCGAAATGTGATTTTGCAGTATATTTTAATGTTTAATAAAATCATTAATACCTATATTTACACAAATATTGTTTGAACTAATTGAAGATACAACTCAGTGTATCGTCGATTACCTAAATTAATTGATTAAATAAATGACAGCACGATAATTAAACCTGTCAACTATCAATAAAACATTAACCCAGATCTCGTCTCAACACTCTAGATTAGACATTAAATACAGTCTTCCGAATAAAATTAAACATATTAATACAACTTCTACTACAACAACACCCAGTGACAATATAAATGACCTCTTAACATTAGCATCTAAATATCCCATATACGGGTCCCAATTTACAGCTGTGCAATATGGCGACCGGTTAAATAATTCAAGGAACAAAATGTTTTTAAATGTTTGTAATCTACATAATTAAATGTCAATTTGAAACAGATTTTCACAAGTTTAACAAAACAGCGGGGAAGACAATAGAGACATGCCACTAAGGATCGACAGCAACGATAACGAAATCACACCATCACCGCTTACCGATTCGGGGATTATGACGTAATGGAGAGAATCCTTTCCTGAGGGTATCCCCTAAAGACAACTGTCATCAAGTCTTAGGGGTCATCACGGAGGGTAATTATCAAAATAAACTCAGGAGATGTAAAGTAATAAAAGTTGTGACTACCAGCTTCAGTGTGAACCTGGCGTCTAACGGGACACGCGAGAGAAAAGCTTGTACATTTCATTACAACACTCATGGCTTCTGAAATTGACATAGGCGGATGTGTACTGTTAGCTGGGCCCAGGTAGGTGGTTAATAATGTCGAAAATATTTATCGACGGAGATCTACTTTAGCTACTCTGACTGAATAATACAGCTTTTAACATGCAAATACCTTCAATCGCTGTCCCTCGGGTCTCGAGATCGCACGTGTCTCGATAGGATGACATACACCGATGAAAGCGCTCTCTGCTCGGCTGCGACATTCTCGTCCGAACTTGTGGCTGTATTTTTGGAGTAAAAGTCGTAAATCTAGCTCAGAAATCGCCCATTTAAGACGAGAAAACAAGGGAGAAATTGGAAAATGTTCCCGTCGCTAGACCAATCTATCATAGCTCCGTTTCATCCTATACAGTGCAGCTGTAATCCGATTGGCTGAAGGGTGTCACGTGGGCTCGCGAGCGCCTCTAATCCTGTCATTTTCCAGGCGTAATTTACCTTCATTTATTTCAGATTTATCTCTCCATCGACAGCTAATTTGAGCACCCCTATTGACAGGCACGGCTCGGAACAGGACAAAATTATGAATTCTGATAACGACTACACCTTGTGCAATCTTGACGCTCATTCCTATGCTAACACTTTTCCTAACTCTGAAATACCAGCGAGCATTTACGGATTTGCAAACATAAATAACAGATCACTCGATACCGGCCAGGGGTACTACGGTCCTGACCCCTCCCTAGGAAGTCTTCAGGGTGGGGAGCTAGCTTTGGGAACTAACCCTCAGCTTTCTTACCCCGTATCCACCAGCGTTATCGCCCGAGCTTCACGCCACCCAGGAGGGTATGGCTTGGGGGTGGGGGACATCCCGCCCGTCCCTACAGTCAATGAATGTTATGTGCCAAACGGAAACGGTAATGGGGCAGCTTGTATGGACATGGGGGTGCGGACGCCTTTTTCTTGTGCCTCGGACCCTGCTCGAAACACCCTGCCAACGGGGGGAACCAGCGCTTACCTTTCGCACACACCTGGGGGATCCCCCCTGAAGTCGGAACAGTGCGGAAGTCAGGCCATGCAATCGAAGCCATTTCGTTGGATGACAATTAAACGAAATCCGACAAAACCAGGTAAGTAAACATTACTTTTTTCCTCCGCTCTGTCAACGCTCGCTCACTCCTTCTCTCTATCAACGCTCGTTCACTCCTTCTCGTTGTCAAACCAGGAAATAGCCAGGGTAACGGCTGGATCAGACAGTGTCTCGCTCGGTTGCTACACTAGGCTGGATTATGCGTTCCGTCAGGCTTTAGGGGGCTGTTTTAGTGGGTTATTATTCTCGCCCAACGATGTGTTGAAAGCCATAATCACATCGCTTTTCTTGGGTTAATTGAGGAAAAATGCTTCCACACTTTTGTCAAAAACCATGCCTGACTCGTGTCTTATTCTTTCACCCGGCTCGTTCTACCTGTATCGAATTTTCTTTTCAACAATCTCACCTGTGGGATGAAAGGCGCCGCCACTCAAATGCATGACCCCGAACAATAGGATTTCCTTGCCGGCATAATGATAGTATTTGGTAGAAGGTCTACACTGCCACGAGACAGGGGGTAGGGTAGCTTATTGATATGAAACCAGTGACAATAATACATGACACTATATCTATAGTCATAACGCTTACTTCTCAAACTTCCTTCTTTATTGTTAAAATGTATATATTTTGAAAACACCACAGAAAGCTTAGTAATCTAGAAAATATTTGTCACGATTTATGGTATATATTTTAATCCTTCATAATTATTATTGACATAGGTGTAAAAGGAGGGGGAATCTGTATATTTGATTGAATGAAATGTACATGTGACTGAGTATCATACATTAGCAATAGACATGTAATAGACATGTAATAGACATGTAATAAACATTTTATGTACATTTCACTATTATCCTCTGCATAATGTGTATCCCTTTTTAATGTCAATACTTAACATAAAGAGTTCATACGAATAGTACACATATTCACGAAGATCTGATATTAATTTTACATATGAATCCTTAATCATACTTCATCAAACAAGCATTATCGAATAATCTACTAAAATCTACAGCTTTCTCCCAACACCTGTTCATTGACATACACAGACCGTTGTCAATTTCATACATAAACATATTCACAGCTGGCCTCTACAGCCACTGAACTCATCAAGTGCGAATTGTGATCTAGTCTACAATTTGCTTGGCTACCCAACCCTTCTCAACGATTCAATATGGAGTTAAGCTCTTCATCTGTGTTAAAGCCCCTATGCAAGTGACCTTTGGCTTAAACCAGACAATCAAAAAACAGCCTGTGCTTAATAGATGTTTGCGCTTCCACTAAGACTAATCTTCCCACCCTAGTTCTCCCCTACTTCAGGGAACGGGTACATTATTCCTAACAGCCTGTTTGTTTATTTTTCCACGCCTAACTGGGTTCTTTTTCCACCCTCTTCTCCCTAAGTTTCCCTCTTCCGTTAAACACGAGAAGTCATTTAAATAGAAAAGACCCATTTACTAGATATTAGTGTCGTCAGTTCTTATCGTGTTTGACCAGGATTATGGTAATTTAGCAGTGAAATTGACACGTGCCTATTTCTTGTCATTCACTAACAGCTGATTACTACTGGGGGTTATTTCAATATAGAGTACATAAGTAATAACGTTTTGCCTTGTAGGCAATGTTTAGTGTTTATGTGTTAACAAGCTGAATATATCATCTATATTTACTGAATCATGTGTGCTTGGTAATATTCATTGATGTAAGCAAATATTACAGTTTCAAATCCTAATTATGGATTAAGATTATTATATTTTTTAATTATTTGTCAATCATATGCCAAAAGGATACATTTTTAACTTATTATAAATACCAAAGCTATGTCAGTTTTTTAATGGAAATTTATGTTATCGAGTCAGTTTAATGTGTACAGTGCATGGGATCCTATTAAACTTTATTTTACATCAATGTGAATCAGTGATATATTTCGAACTGAGGCCATTGTTACAGGATATTTTTCTTTCATACACATTTTACAAGTCCAGATGATACTTACTTTAAATATGTTTTTTTAAGAAACGAGAAGATATGACGAATGTTTTTTAATGAAATGAGCTACAAACCATATCGCAATATTAATCAAATAATTACATCTTTCATCTGATATGTAACATCCACGTGTTTTGTACTTTGAATCTGTATTGTGAATATCCCAATTCAAATAAACCATATTTAATCCATATGCTTGTAGTAAAGTCAACACAGTGTAATATCGTAACAATTGTGATAGATCCGTTTAAAGTAATCCAAATCTTAAGACAGATACTACTCAAAGTGTTTTGGTACTCTCTCTCTCTCCCTCTCTCTCTCTCTCTCTCTCTCTCTCTCTCTCTCTCTCACACACACACACACACTCTCTCTCTCTCTGCTAGTGTGTGGGTGTTTGGTATATATATATATATATATATATATATATATATATATATATATATATATATATATATATATATATATATATGCGTCGAAAGAACGTTTCTACTGAAAACCAACTGCTTTTATTCATACTTTAATGTACATTTGTCGATTTCGTACATATATCATATGTTCAGCACTGTCTTATTTATGTTTATATACCCAAAATGTATATGACATATGCATAATTTAAGGAGCTTTTAAGGTGCATAAGTCCAAATCTGCCACGCACTGATAGCAGTAATACAAATATAGTAATTATTTATTATTAATAAATACGATGATAATAACACTATAATGATAGGACCTCTTATGAGTATGAAAATATTGATAACGGTGATGGTTATACTATCACATCAGCTACTACTACTACTACTACTACTACTACTACTACTACTACTACGACTACTACTACTACTACTACTACGACTACTACTACAACAGAAACAATAATAATAAACAAAAAGCAGCTGACCTGTAATAGTTTATCTTATGTACATGTATATTATAGATTATAGCTTCCGTTAATCGTATATACGTAGTAAAACGACCACAACTAGATGTTAAACAAAGATATATTCACGGAAGATATCTATCACATCTACAAACCATATGTCACATCAGTCAACATGTACAATTAGGAAAAATGAAAATATATGTCACCTTTAGTCGACAGGATGATTTATCGTATCGTCAAAATATTTCATCACTGTTTATTAGTAAGAGGCTTGGAAAACCTTCAATGTGAGCTCCACCACCTGGATCATCCTTGGAACAAAATAAAATAAAACATATATATAACAAGGCAAAATCTGTAGTATATGAATTTCCTGCAAATTGAAAGTAATGAAGTAGAAATGCAATAAAGTACTACTTGCAGTTATCCAAAACGCACATTTGACATTTCGAGGAACCTTGGTGTCTTGTTAGGGCTGATGTTAGTCCTGTCTTTTTGTGATGAGAGTGAAACTGACTTGACAGGTTTGAAATCTACATTTAATGTACAGGTGTTGTACGTTATGAAACTAATCAGATCTGTAGATAAGAGACTGTTTCAATTTTAACGATTACCCGACACCTCCTCAAAATATCGATTACATGAAATCGATACGCTAAGTAATCTTATTGGTATGATCTATTTCACATCACAGACTCAGACGCTGTGCAAATATTCAGTTGGGTTAATAAAGAAGCGAATGTGGTTCCTGTCAAATATGTCCCACGTGTAAGAACAAGGTTGTTTACTTGTTCATCAATACTATATACTTTGTTTATTTGTCAATTAGTTCTATATTAATTCATGTTATAATGTTTCTTTTTCACACTCTCTACACCCAAGTACTTTTTAAAACAGTTATCGATGTAGATTGGGATAGATGTAACGTTCTATACAAATTATTCATGTATATACCTAACCATAATGCCTGTCTGAGTGTAATGCGTTCAATGATTATGCCTAATAGAATCTCTATAACTTTTAATATACTTTCAGGTTATAAATATGCATAGAATATTGTCCGATGACATTTAAAGTGAAAAGGTGTCCAGTGAGTTCAATTTCGATTGAAATGTGAAATTCACAGAGACCAACTCGCAAAATTTCCATTTCTATTTTTGTATATGGCGTAGCGATAGTGGGTGTCTATCTTGGCTATGTAAGGCATCGTACTTATTTCTGGCTCGTTGCCTACGGTATTTTCCCAATGTCGATAGTATCTAGTTACATGTGTTTGACATATCAGCACTACCCCCGACAAGGACCTGCTTTTATACACATCATGAAGATCAAGTTTATGAACTGTCAAATTTTCGATTGATCACTGCATTGCTTTTTCGAAGCAGAAACATATATTTTCTTGAAATGATTGACCTTATGTAGTCTATATATCCAAAGACCATGTTTCTTAAAATAGTCGTCATTTTTAATTGCGTCAAACAAAACAGATAAATGATGAATTATTAGGCTCCCGCACTTCTTCGTTTTTTGTGCTTCTGAAGAAGGTAAAAACTACTTTATATGATATTAACAATGTCATTTTCTAGGTCATCGAAATTGACAACGTTTCATTTCACACATTAGTAACAAAGTGAGAATGAACACTTAGCATAACTGTTGTTTGTGTATACTGACACGTTTCTCCATATGAACACTTGTAAATGACAAATGCATAGTCGCGACCAGTCATCCATTCTCTCCTTAACCCCAACACATTGCTCTGATAGTCAGCATATTATATGTCATAAGGAGTCAGCTTCATGATATTTAGCGAAAGTATCTTTCCCGGACAGTGCAATGCATTTGGAAGAAACAAATCAGAATTCTTCTACTTGTTAATAGCAAGAAGGATGCAATATCCCCCACATACTCAGCTGACAGTAGAGACAAATAGCCTAAGGTTCCCCCTTTAACACCGTGAGGGCGGTGGTTTAAAGAGTGCGCTCCCTCGATCAGTACTCTTATCCTATCCTCGCCAAAAATTTGGGATATGGTAGAATATGGATTTGCAAATTGCGTGGATGTCTTGGCGAAAGTGGCCTGTCACCCCGTAAGATAAATGAGCGATTTTCTGTTTTCCCAATTGTGAAAGATAGCGTTTATAACCAGGACAGACATCGTCCCTTTTGGGA